ATAGCCAGCTGTAGATGATTTGATTGGGGAGATTTTTGTATAATGTAAAGTGTCTTCTCATAGTACGAGAGTGCGGTCAAGTAGTCTCCCATCGAATAATGCGCCAGGCCAATGCTGTTGTAGGTTTTAGCCACCTCAGGATGATTGGGTGTAAAAGATTTTTGTTGGATGTCCAGGGTCTTGGCATAGTATGAAAGTGCAGTCGGTAGATGGCCCATCTTGTGCATTAGGTAGCCCAGTCTATGCTGTACAGTTCCTCCTCGAATCTCCTTTTGTATATGTGAGACGCCTGAGTTTTTCGTCGTTGTCCGTCGTTAACGTTAGATTCGCTTCCCACAATCGATCTTTCATTCGCTTTAGCTCACCAATTCGAAAGATTGTGTGCATTGAGAAGAGAATCTCTTTTTCAGAGTCCGAAAATGGCCGATGTGGTCTAACACAGCAAAGACAGATGATTGGATCGATGAATCTATTTCCATTCGGAAAAGGATCCCGGTGTGTTTGGGATCGTCTCGAGGACTTTCCGCAAAGGCCGACGAGACTTGGCGATCGGTGCTCGTCGAGAGGAAGTTGTTGAACGATAGAAGACCTCCTTTGCTCATACTCATGTTCTCAAATTGGCCATTCAACATGCCTTGTTCTCCACAGACAGTAAATGGTTGACGATAATCTGATTCTGAGTGTAGTTGTTTGATTTGTCGATGGAGATCTCGAACAAAAAATGCCATCATCATGATAGTTTCGATGTCTTGTGTTCGCAGAGCACTATTGAGCGTTGAGTATATAAATGACTCTTTTGTGTACCACCAAATAGGCGATGTGCTGTCATAGTCTCGTTCGAATTCATCAATCACACGTAATTGTGCACTGTTGTCAAAATACAGAGTGCGAAGAAGTTGGCAAAGTGTCTTTTGGCTTGTCCGTCGTATTCCGTCTCGAGCAAGATCTCCTTGAGTAATTGTGAGTACATAAATGATTGATCGAGTTCATTCAAATCAGTGACAAAGGATGATGTCAGAATACTGATTGGTATCAAATCAGTGTCCGACTGGCGGACATCTCGTCTGAGTGCATCACAAACGGATGTGACCTGAGAGAAAACTCCTTTCATTTTTTTTGACACTTTGGCCCACTCTTCATGTTTCCACTTGTCACTACATAACACATAGATCGAGTCGAGTTGAGTAGTTCCTTGGATCTGTGGCATGAGCTGCTGACCAAGAGCAGCCGATACAATCAGAAATACTTTTTTGTCTTTGATTTCATTGAGAAAAGTGACACATTCATGGGTCAGTAAATGTTTTGATCGAATTGACGATGCGTCGAAGTTGAGTGATCGAATGTTGATAATCGCTTTCGGACTCGTTCATGTTCGTATCCAACCAAATGACAACAAAATTTTCGATGAAGTGAGACTGTGGATATTGTGACGAGATGGTGTTGCTGACGGGCGTTCCTTGAGCATTGGCTCGTGTTCTGTGAGCAGTGCCACTTCTGGAGGAACAGATCGACGCATTTTTCACCTCTCCACTAGTGACACTGGTCAAGGTGGGCTTTGCACCGACATGTTCGAATGATGACTTTGTAGTGACTTTTGAGCAGACAGGTCCCATCAAACACCTTTCATTAAGGACGTTTCAGCTGTGGTATGAGTATGATCTGGCTTTCTGCCTGCGTGGCTTGTGAAGGTACAATGGCACTTTGTTGACGCTGAGTATAATTGTGATCAGTCGGTGTCTCTATTTATACATGAATTTTGCTTTATCATTTCCAGCGAAAATCACTCACTGTTTTCGTTCCTCATCATTGTCGTCAAAACAGCTCTCTTCACTCTCACCGCCTCTATTGACGCCGTTGCGATGAGGAAAGATAAGAACAGCAGAACTCCATCGCCAATACAGAACAACAGCGGAAATAGATGTAACAATCGTTGTTGCATTCATTCTCTCTTTATATCCTGTCATGATAAGACGTGTTTAATGCTATAAGAGCATACCCGTTTATGGCGTAGCTGAAACTAAAGGTGAAAATACAAGGTGGTTGAGGATAGTATAATATTGATTTATTTAAACAAGCACGCCAAATATTAGGTAAAACAAATATGTATATATCGAATGGTCATATTTGGTATAATGCAAAAGATGGAAGAGTATCTATCTATTCGATACTTGGCTGATATTGGCAAAGCATAAACTCTTGACTAATTACGGTAACTGCCGTTCAACTTTTACACATCTTTTCAAGGCGAATGTTTTATTTCAAAGTCATTTTGATTTTGGTATGTGTATGGCTTATTATATTTTTCGTTTTTTTTCTTCCTTTTTTTCTATATCGAAAAATCAAAATTTCGGTGTGTCTTCTATACGATTATGTTCTCTACTTGTGTGACTACATGTACACTTGAGAAAAAATTTTGTTATGATATTTAAGAAAGGAAAAGAAAACGACGTAGTTTTCAATACTCCTTCAGATAAGTCACTCCTCACAAAGAGATTTTGTCTGATGGGTACTAACAGAAAAGAAAAATTTTTTAGCTCCGGCCACTATTCCCTTTGCAGATCGGTTTTCTCGTGGACCTTTTCTTAACAGCCTGTCATCTCAGGTTTACCGAGACGGTGGCCAGTCATTTTCATCTAGTCAACTTCCCATTCATAATGAAACATATTTTCAAATGGACCTTGATAGTTTACCGTCTCAGGTTTATGATAATCACAATCAGAGCAGTCAGATTACATCCGTCGTTCAATTTCATGATAATACCTCAAATCAAAACGATAATTCATCCATTACAACGATTTTAAAAGCTACAGAAAATTTGCCAGTTTTATCAGATCTTAAGTGTCTATAGGTCTGCGGCATTCCATCCGCACTAATGAATCTTTCTTTTATGTGTTTAGAAATTACTGAAGAACCATCATGTTCTGAAAATTCTAAAAATGATTCTTTTGTCCCAGAATTAGTGTTGATCTTCGTATTCTCTCTTTCTCATTTCTCTCACTTATTTCAAATTGTGAAAAACTAATAGCACAATCGGTATCGCCGAACCTTTGTGACGAACATTTTTTATTAGAAACTCATATATTATCGAAGGAAATAAATAAGTTACTTTATAATCAATAATTTATGATGAGTGTACTTCAAAATTGGCATTAATATGCAAAAATCGTGCTTAAATAGATGATAAAAATGATGAAGCTCTTATTTCGCGTGAACCAGCGGATACAAAAATATTCACCGCTGATGAACTACTTTCCCTAGTAGAATCCGCGCGTCGCGAAGCCATAGTAATCTTGTCACAATCTTGCCGCGCAATACCCAATTTGAATCGCGGACGCACATATTCGTGAATTTTTCGCGGAACGCGAAAAAACACGAAAAATTCACGATTGTGTCCAGAAACAGTTCGCGACAAGATCGCGATTGAATTCGCGACCATTATTCTAAGCGGACAACATTGGTTCCTGCATCGATGACCGGAAACCGATCGTCAACTATGTATTGTGCTGGATAATCCAAAGGTTCAACTGGACCAAGACTTTCACCACAGAGAGCTGCACGATCAGTGCCGAATGCTTGTATTTGTATCTCCAGGGAAATAATAACCGTGATAAACAACGTTCGTTATCTAGCTTGCAGGCGTTTGTACACACTAGGGAATCCAACAGCATAGCTAAGCTTAATAAAATTGAATTTTTCGTTGAATAGTGTCGTACGTTTGAAATACGAAATATCCTATTTTTAATTTAGAACATTAATAGTTTATTTTATAGGCGTGACATATATAAGTGAATGACTATATTTTTCTTGTTGTACGCATCCGGATATATGTACAGATATTATATTGTCATACAAAGATAATTGGTTCATCATAGAAAAACAGTATATGTACAGATCAGAAAATATTATGCCTAAAAGTGAGCCTTTTTCATGCACCCTTTGGTACAGGGAATCAAGTGATCTGATATAAATTTCAGGATATATTATTTAACTGATAATTTAGAACTTCAACAACATTTTAACACTTCATTTTATACAATGTGACATATATAAACGAATGACTACACTTTTCTCACGTACATCACTGTCTTATGCAGCTGTATTTGAAAAACATTCTTCTGCTTCTTATGTGTGTGCTCATGCCATTTATGATGGATGAACTGTATTGCATGGTATACAGAAGAATTCGATTTCAAATTGCGACACAATTTTTGTCATCTCTTGTACGATTTTGGTCTTTCTCATTTGCAAACATGTATTACACGTTTAATGAAGTCTCACTAAATAAAGAAGTTCATACTTGTGTCGCCTCTTCAGTTAAATTCAGTGTGTTCTTCAGTACTACTGTTTTCTCAAGTGCGAGTAAGAAAAAAGTAAGTTGTTTTCTCGAGTATGATAAGATATCAGATATTAAACAATATGTCCATCATTAAAAATTCGTTAAATCTGATTTTCGCATGGTTATTTTTATCGTCCTGTTATACTTTTAATATTGATAAAATGCCATTGTGCAACAAACAGTTTGTATTGTTAACAGAAGCATCGAAGGTAACCGGTAGCCGGATTGGAAGTTTTTCATTAGTAGCGAAATAAAGGTATTCACGTTTGATATACCTATTACAGGATTACAGTGCAGTTTATTATCTATGGGTACATTGGCGAACATCTCTACATGTATAGAACCATTCGAAAAACTGCACCATTATATTAGAAAAGATTTCTTCCGGTAACATTAGAAACAGCGATTAATTTGTTTTTACGGGAGCAACTGCTTTAGCTAGTCAAATATAGATTAGTGGTTTAAAAGCCGAAGTTACCAAAATATATAATAGAATTTTGGTAATTTAGAAACCATCAGTAAAGAATTCGGGGCACGCATTTTCATATTAGAAAATGACCGGTTAACATTTTTACGCATGTTTAAAGATGCATCGACACAAATATTTACAGTGGAAGAACATTATGAAACTTTAAAACAAATTAAGAAAACTAGGAGAAAACGATTATAAATGAGATTCTTTAATAAGGCAATTTGGTAATTTGGCTTTACGTTTTGTCCATTTGTAGCTGGTAAAAGCAATAAATGATATGTGTAATGGGAAACTTAACATGGATTTCTTGTCACCCAGTGATCTAGTAACATTTATTAAGGTATTAATACACTATACACTGGGTACAGCGACATTACCGCGAACGACATTACCGAGAGACATTACCGCGAGACATTACCGCGAACGACGTTACTGCGAATTTTTCACAGTACACATCTGGTCTCGGCGATTTTCAAAAGGTCCATATATAAATTCCTTGGGGCTTTTCTAGATTCTAGAAAATCGAATTTACAAGAAACTTGGAAATTCAACGTCGATTTTCCAACATTTTAGAAATTCGCTGTGGAATTTCAAGAATCTTAGGAATTATTTATAGAAAATCGACCCCGAATTTTCATATTTTTGGAAATTCTACGGCGATTTTATGAGTAAAATGAAAAGTCAATTTATAGAAAATCAGAAATTTATAGAAAGCCAGAAAATCGACACGGAACTTATAAAAGTCAGAAAATCCCGGGCGATTTTCGAGATCGATTTTCTATAAATAAGAAATTAATTCCAACTTACAGTCTAGTTACAAATCAGATAAGCACCTGAAAAGCTCAAGAAAATTCATAAAGCATCAAAAAAAATATTCTGTATGAAACTGCTTTTCGAACTCACTCCCACACTGCCCACACCTCCACCGCCCACCACGTACTACCAAAAATGCCCAAATGTCTACTACGAAAAATTCGCGGTAATGTCGTTCGCGGTAATGTCGTTCGCGGTAACGTCGTTCGCGGTAACGTCGTTCGCGGTAATGTCGTGTCACGATACACTGAGTTTGTGATATACATTTTCTCAACAACAACTTGCTCAAACAACAAAAGCGGAACACATTAGCAGTCACTATAAATGTAAAAGCTTACGAGACCTAAAAACCTAAATGAAAAAAGCGATTATAAAGTACATTCAGTAGCATTTATAACTTCCTCGCTTTCATGATGCAGAGAGAAAAAAACGACGATTGCATTGGGAAAATATAATCAATTGTACTTTGCTTTGAAAACGATGGCAACTGCAATCTCTAACGAGGACGTGCAGATAGCAGCCACTCGGATTGCCCAATGTGCTAGCAATGTTCTGAGTGTTCTGAGAGCTTTCGTATTACAGAACGCTCAAATGGCCAGGATCTACTTATAATCACTTTCGGGCTGTCAATGGACCCTTAGAAAATCGAGTCAAGATTCTCGATTTGGACTCGACCCGTGCAAATGCCTTTCCAGTGTATGATACTGATCTTAAATATGTCTGGTCGAATCCGAGTACGATCCTTGTCCCATTTATCATGCCAAAATATCTAGCTAGCTTGATTATACAGATTTGTTTGCCAATGAAGACGCTACGCAATGTATAAGAGCAGAATGAAGAATGACGCATTTTTTCTTCCAACATTCACTTTTACGAGTTTGATAAGAGTATGCAAACACTCAAGTCAACAACGCTGAATTAGAAATAGAGGATGTAGCGACAAAGCATCTTTCGTACAGTAGAAAAACAAAAGCTGAGCTGCGCAACAGGTAAATTATTGACTTTGGAGAAATTATGTTTGTTTAATAAGACCTTCGAACTGCTTGTTTTCAAACTTTTTATAAGAAAAATCACTTATCTATATATTTGTGAAAACGTTATTGAGCTGTGTTCGAACTTGTAAAAGGCTCATTTAGATAAAAAACTTAAAAAGTCGGCGTCAGGTAATTTATAACGCATCTTTTGGTGAACTTAAATTTTTTACTCATTCGCTACAGTATTGCTCAAAATTATACGAGCAAAAAGTTTGTGCTTAAATTCTATTCTCATTTTTCCTTTTACTTCTTGAATGGATTTATTGTTTGTCCACGCATATGCACTGGCCTATGCTCATACTCAAATGAATCTACGTGGACAGAAAAGATCAATTCAAAAAGTAAAATGAAAATAAAATTAGAACATTAAAAACTTTTTGTTTTTATAAATTTGAGCAGTACAACTTCAACAAGGAATTTTAGAAAGCTATAAAAAGTAAGAAATTGTTTCGGCGTCGATCGATTACTGTTAACCACGCTAACTTCAGTTTATTCACTCTTACTTGAATTAGTGTCAAACAGTGCTAGAACGTCGTTAGCGATCAATGGATTCCGAAATAAAATTCCCCAATTGATGATGAATCCAATATGGAATCTCTATTTGATCTAACAAATAATATGGAGGGATTCACAATTGTCTGGCCTCATCGTAATGCGAACAATCGAAATAAAGATCATAGTAAATATATGCGTGCTCAATTACGTGGCATTATTGATTACCTTCAAATATTTGACGATACCATTGACTGTGAAAAATATATTAAAGAAATTAAATATGAAACAATATTTTTAGTCGTTTCATCTGAATTTGTACAAGAAATTGTACCAAATGTGCATGATATTGATTTGATATATGCTATTTATATATACACAAATGATAACATCAATGTCGGTGATAATGAACAGTGGAGCAAAACCTATAAAAAGGTAAGAATGTATTTAAAACTTTTTATCTGTATACATATACGGGTTTATTTAGATTAAGGTATCTTTCTTGCATACATTGGAATTGTTTAATCAATTTCTAATTGATTCAAAAAATGAACTGAAAAATATAATAAATTCTTCTATTTTGGATAAAAGTACACGAAATTATGATGAAAGTTTATGGTATTTATTATTTCTGCATATTGTTGTCCACAATCGTTTGTTCGAGCCGACTGTGAATCAACGAGTAGTATTAGTAGAAAAATGTAATCAGTATTATTGTGGTAATAAATCTCAACAAAAACTCATAGATAAATTTGATCGAACATATAATAGTAACCATGCTATTCAATGGTACACACAATCGGGCTTTCTTTTCAATATTTTAAATAAAGCATTACGTCAACAAAATATAACTACAATTGCTTATTTTCGACTTTTTATATCAGTTTTATGCAAGCAAGTAATGTATCAAATGGATAGTACAACGGCAAATGATGATGAAAGTATAGTTTACTACAGAGGACAACTGATGTCCGTAGAAGAAATCAAAGAGTTGGCAGAATTAGTCGAATATGATATTGTTGTTAGTAGTTTTTTCTGAACAACAAATGATAGAGATGTTGCAAAAATGTTGGGAGGCGTGGGTGGAGTCAACTCGAATGAAGAAATTCAATCTGTTTTATTCAAAATTGAAATTCAATAAGCAAACAATTCTTTTAAAATGTATGCTGATATTTCAAGTTTTAGTCATTTTTTCTATGAATTGGGGATATTATTCTTGCCAGGTACAATGTTTAATATTAAGCATGTCGTATTCGATTCAATAGAGAATTATTGGACTATTGAATTTGTTCTCGCGCATGCATGGCCAAGTAGTCCAAGAAACATTATCATGCTACCGGTCTCTTTCAATGCTAAACTTTTAAAATTTGATCTCATTTCTCATAATCATAATTCCCCAGTTTATGAGAAATTACAATATTATAATGCCTCCTTGCGCGATTCATCGTTGACAGTATCATGTAAAATAACATGTTACACTGGTCTTGGATGAATAGCTTATAAAAGAAACATGTATGATCTCGCTATGAATGTATTACTCAAAGCTCTCTGTACAAAGAGTTTGTTAGAACAACGCAAGCTGTTCGAATTTTAAGTGCTTCTCAGTACTGGAAATCTCGTTTTCCGATGATACACAGTTGTCTATCGGAACCGGACGAAGTCGTTGCCTATACGTACCAATATTTAGCTGATGTTCACAAAGCAAAAGACGAATATTCTCCAGCCATTTTAAACTACGAATTGGCAATTGACATTTGACGTTTACTTACTCCAATCGACGAAGGTCCCGTAATGTAATGCGTATTGTCTGTCATTATTTTGTATTTGTCATCCGGATGTACGAGGATGCCACTTGAAGTAGGTCTAACAATCATTCGTAGTAGAAACTTTGACATTCATTTTCACATGCGATTATGTCAAGGGGTTGAGCTCTTTTTTGGAGAACCTCGCTACCTTCTCCCTTCAGTAGACAATAAGTATAACTTTGATAAAAATAAAATTTACTTTAAAAGAAACAAAGACTAATTTACTGATACTGATTTATTTATTAAACAGTTCTATCAAAGTGCCGATTTCCATATAAAATCAGAATTTTTCCACGAAATGGCACATTTTTCTGTTGAATGAACCGGACACATATGCATTTCAAGCAAGGTCTGATCTTGGCTTTGAGGAGTTGCTTTACATGTAAGTTCGGTGCTGCATCTGTTAGTGTTCCTTTCAGGGCATTGACATAGTCTGAGTGGGCTTCGGCCGCAAGAAGAAGATTGAGTATTTGTTGGAAATCTCTTCAAGTAAAAGTGTTGACCTTCTCATAAAAATAGGATATAGAATAGCTTAAATACTCTACATTCTGAAGTTTTGAAGTCGTTTTGATGTTTTTTGAGTGAATAGTGAACTTTTTAATATCAGGTGAAAACAGGATGAAAGCCCTATTTTTCATAAAACTGGCTTTTTGCTAGATTTTTGAACATTTTTCTAAAGATAAATATATTGCCACGAAACTCAACATGGTCGATTATCCATAGTGCATCCGTCTTTAAGGCTTCCAATAGTCACCGGATGGAAGTCCTTGGACTTGTAGAAAATCCGATACAACGCTCGAACCGCGGAAAATCAAGGTCTCACTTTATTTCCATTTTGAAGAGGACATCCCGCGCTATCAGGCCATGAAAAAAAGCAATACAATCCTACTGGAAAAGTTTTACAGAGGGCCTAGTTTTTTTGCTTCTTACGAGGAAAGGCCACCAACTGCCTCCTCGCTTTTGAGCTTAAACTCAGCTGACAATAAGTAATCGAACGTGCTGATTCCGAATATCACAATGGTTTTTGCCCGCTTCCGATTTAAAGACCCGTTTTTTAAAGATCTTGGGTTTTCAGTCGAAAAACCATTTTCACTAAAAAATTTCCTTGACCTGTCCAAATGAAACAGCACGTCGTCAAGCGTACAGAAAACCATTTCTCAAGGTTCTAATCGAGATTTGAGCGAGTCTTCTGCGTCTAAAACTTAAAAAAAGAGGGGAAAATCGCTAATATTCTTACACAATTTATAAAGTTCTGTTTTTTCACACATGTTATTAGCAATTTGTGATAAAGGTGGCAATAAAGCAGTTTCACAGAGGCATGATTCGTAATAATATTTGCTGTGATTTTAATGGAAATGATAACTGGTAAAAAAGTG